AAACGTACTACGCTGCTGTGTGGATAGTCGTTCTTCTAATGAAGAAGGGTTATGGTCCGAAAAAACGGTGGGTATCGAATGGAAGCCGAAAGATAGTGAAAGGTCATTATTTTCTAGTTCACGCTGCTCACTGGGCTCAATGTTGTTCAATAATTCTGCCTATTATTATCGGTAGGGAAGCCTTCATAAACTCCTTGTTATTTTTTGTGCTTTGCTGAATAGCGAGAACTTTACTGGGCTACAAAGTGGGTGAAGCTGATTTCAGAAGACAATGTTGAGTAGTCATCTCGTAAAAATGGCGAAGTACGAGATCCGTTAAGTTGTTGACGGCTTAGTTCGCGGCTAGCCTGTTCCACTAGGGCTTACCGCTGCACGCGAAGTTTTCGATCTCTTCCCATCTGATCAGTGCCATCACTGTGAAATCGAAGCCAAATTGATAAACGACGATGTACATTGTAGACAACAGCTAGTGGACAACGTATTGTCCATCTTATAAAAGGATAAAAGAAAAAAGCTCTCGGCGCTGATCAATCCCTGAGGCATGCGCCATGCATTCGATTTCATAAAGCATGGTTTGGGGGTGACTGAGCGTACGTCTGGCGTTTACAATGGTTCACGGTAGCACACCGATGTATCGAGCCAGTGCTGTTATCCTCCCAAGCAAGTTTGGTGCCAATTTGCCAACCTTGGAAGGATGGAGGGCTTGGTTTGTCATGGGCGCGGGAATCGATCCCATCTGTATTGCAGGGCGCATCCGATCACTGCTCTTCACGACGCCCATCTTCTAGATTCTATTCATTCCATTTTTTCTGTTATCATCTCTAGTCGTCTTCTTAAAATAATATCTGCTTTGCCAACAACAGTTCTCGTAACTATGAAATAGAGAAATGAGTGCGTGTATCGCGGTGTTCAGGGCTGCCCCGTGATACATACGTGGTCATTCGTTCGCTTCCTCGCTCTGGGCTTACCGAGCCCTCCATCTATCAGGGTTCGGCAAATTGGCACCAGAGTTGTCTATTGCTGTAGCAAATCACTGCGTGGAGCAGATATGCATTGAATTACCATCCACGATGGGGGCGGTTAGCACAGTGGTAGTGATGTCCGTTATCACGAGCATGATGTTAATTCGATTCCACTGCTGGCCAACCAAGCGTCTCATCCGTCCGGGGTTAGGAAATTGGTATTGGGCTTGTCTAGAAAAAATTCACTTATTCCCTGCAATCTAATTGGGAACGCTCCAGCCCGGTTATTACAGGTCTCTAAAGATCATATCAAGAGATATACCACGATGGGTGCTGTAAGTGAGGTCCAAGGCGTGGCGCATCTCTCAGGGTCTGATCAACGTCGAGACTTCTCTCTGTTTTCACTGGACTTTTTTTTATAAACATCTGCTTGGCAACAGTATCGCCTGCGACTGATGTCTTCACCGGCAGTACTCGGTTGCTCGTTAAACGAACTCCATTGAAAGTAGCGCACTGCATGATCTCATCAACGTCATATAATGTTGTACAGATTCACGTAGCTCCATACATATTTAATCATTTAAGGACGGATTCTGTGAAGAGAAATTCATGGAAGCAACGATCGTGTTGGATGCGGTGGGTGACGGAGTGGCAGCGAATGTTGGAAGAGGTTGTGAAGGTGAAACAGGGAGCACGTCTTAATGTTTCTTATGTGTTCAGGTCACGTGTACAACTTGCAATGTAAAACTCTCATCTACCTGTGCAGATTCATTACAAACAAATATTGGACTGATGTTTTCAGATTCAATGTACATTTACTACTTCATAACACTTCTTAGGCGATTCTAACGCAGCATGGATAACTCGAGCCACATCAATTCGTTCGTTGTGGCCGTGCACTGTATTCTCCCTTGACAGGAAAAAATATGAGGCCAACGCTCTTTCTCTAAAAACTACGCGTTTAACGATGGTTACTTGATACCATTATCGAATTTCCTACATATGTGGCTGCTGCAATGTTTGAAAAGCCATGTTTATGTGTTTCACAATACCAAGACCTCTGTTTTTTGTTCTCATCTGGGTATTCGGAGAAATGCTATTCATCTTTTTATTCAGGCGAAGGAAAGGAATTGGTTCGCAGGATTTCATGGTGGTGCTGTTAATCATCTTATTGGTGACAATGAAAAGCCTTCTGAAGCAGAACAAGTACTCAGTCTTTCCCATCCTGCGTGGCACTTCTTTGGGGTCCTTAACGATGTTCTACTTTCAAGACATTTCCTTTGTTATTGCGTTGTAGTGGTGTTCGTTACTCAGCCTGACTGCCATTTCTCGAACAAATTACGGAGATGCCATTTTGAGGTGGTCTCTTGAAGATTGATTTTGAAATCATTGTTAACTCACTGTGATTGGATCGTTGTAGTTCGTGGTTCTTCTTCTTTATTTAAATGAAATCTCTTTCTCACTTTCACTGAGTGCTTCATTTGCCATTGAAACGTCGTCGGTGGGTTTGAACTTTTCAGCGAATACGGTTTTCTTCATGTGAAAATCTAAATTCGATGGAATGTGCCCCGATTTTGGTGCTCCATAACCTCCTATAGTTTTTCGACCACCAGAATAATTGTTTTCAGAGCTTGGCAGATTTATAACATAGGGTTCGCCCTACCGTTTTAGCACTACAAATATCTCTCTAAAGTCATCTTTTAATTTAAAGCACGGTTGGAATTTAGGTTGTGAAAAAGCCGTAAGCCAAGATTTTAGATTCCTAACAGCCGTAAACATTAGCGGGGCCAACACGACCACTCAACTGCTTTGGTGTTCGAAATAGAATCCTCGACAAAAAAATAGCCACAAAGAAGAAAAGTTTCTGCAAAAAGCATCCACAGTAGAGATTTATTACCGTAGTAGAGAAAAATTTGCCTCTTATGGGCCAAAATGTGTAGGTTTTAGTGTTGTTTCTGTACTGACAAAGTTTCTCATGAGCTGAGTTCCGTTTGTTCCAAGTAAAGCAGCGTAGTGATTTTCTGGCATACATGCACAAATGTCAATGCATTTGCGTTATTATTGGTTCAATCGCTGGAACAGCTTTATTCTGCTGGTCCAGAAGATGGTTCGCTTCTGGCTAATGCATCCGAATGTCTGCGCGAGCTGGTCGGCTGTAACGACGAGTATGGAGGTGGCTTCGTAATTTCAGTGATCGATCGTGAAATGGGTAGTGACGATGTTGAACAACCTATGAAACCGAGGCCTCCATTGCATTCCCAATCTTGAAGTTCAGCGTCCGAGCGCTACATTTGGCTTCCTGTATTTCGAGTGTTTTCATTTCAAGTACACAATGCTTATCGCTGGAATTTCCTTCGACAATCAGTGGAGTGTTGTATGCTATTTATTTTTTGTGGGAATACTTTTACTCTTACATTACAGCGAATTCTGCCTAGTGCTAACGGTATTTCTTACCTCTTGCTTTCTGCAAGTAGCGACTGATCCTCTCAGTTCACAGTTCCGCCTCACATACAAGTATGGATTGAACTTACTTCAAGTCGTAGTCATCAATCCATGGTTTATGTTGGAGCGGAATTTCTATCGATTTCAGATCCTTGATGCTACTGCAGAACTCTAGCTAGGTGTGATTATTGTTTCTCAGTTCTCCATTTTATTTATGACTTTGCTAGTTCTTCATCCAGAGTCTTGCAATTTAATTAAGGTTAGCCACGGCCGGCTTAACTAGAAAGAAGCTAACCCGATTTATGTAAGCGCTATGTATATGGAAGCAGAAAATTAAGCGTTCTCTCTTTGCGATTCGAAAGAAATTGAGTGATATTTTGACACATACATGTTGAGCTGTGTGAATTTCCACCTGCATTGAGAAAGAATTGATATGTGAAACCATAATTCCAATCCTTGGTCCATCGTTAACTCAATTGTAGCTATCAGCCGCAGCACTTGACATATATATTACTGTATCCTGTACTATTGAAGCTTTCCGAGATTTCTTTTTGGAAATGAAGTAAGAGAGTTACAGAGGTAGATACCGGCTGTTCAGGAGTGGGTGGGAGTTACATATTGGATATAGAGATACCTTGTCACATGCTTTAGTTCTCAGGATCAAACGAGGCGGAAATATAAAGCTCTCCATGAAGTGCTGCGACGAATGCGGTCTGTCTTGAAGGTGAAAGATCTTGATCATAGGAAAACACTGGTCCACCGCCTTGAATACGCTGATAAGTGCGATATTATAGCTGACAGGGTTTGTGAAACTGCAGTGTATCGGTGCTTTTGTATCTTCTGTTAGAATTCGGCGTGTTTAATAAGCTGACACTTCGCGGATGACATTTCCATCTTTTCTGAGAGTATCGATGTCATAGAGGCGATTCGAAATAAGCTTAACGAACCGGTGAAAGGATTTGACTGCGCTTAAATCGCTCGAAGAGTCAGTTCATAAAGCACCTATAGTAAAAAGGCGAAAAAATCGAACTGAATGGTTCTTTGATCACAAAAAACACCCGGTACGTATGTTTCAGACGTTCAACGAATATGGAAAAAAGAAGAAATTAACAAAAAAAAGTAGGGTAGCAAAGTGTGCATTTGGGCGTTCTAAGAAACCACGGACGAATTGACGGATCGAAAACTGCGTACTCACCTAATCGACTCATATGGCTGTTAATCTATGAAGAACACATCACAGATGGATGGAAAGAACTGCGTACTGGCCTCCAAGAGGATACAAGCGTTCTCTCGGACGACTATCCAAACGGTGTGGAGGTGTATTGTGGCTAACGTCCAGCATTAGTCATTTAGAAAAATGCGGACACTCCTTAACTTTCCAACGAGCCCTCTGAGCACACAGAGGTTGCTGTTTAAAACATATTTCCCACATGCGCTCTCATTCTGTTTTGAGGTTGGGTTGAAAGGAAATGAACGAGGATATTTCTGTTGCTTGGTTTCTGGTGCCACTTTCTCGTATAACTGTTATCTGATAAGTTATCATGTAACCGCTGTTTGACAAGTTAATCTAAACGTATGAGTTGGAAGCCAATTTCTTTTCGGTTTTTCTTCGTTGAATGCATTCATATTTACTAAAGTAAAGAATAAAAAAACCCCTCGTGTTTCCTCATCAAGAATATCGAGAGTTATTGGTTATTTATCCTCCTAGCGGTTCACGGCCTCATCGTGACTAGGAGATGTTCCTGAGTGTCGGACTGCAATGTACGACAGAGGATTCATCACCCGGCAGGGTCTCTCATGCTGAGAAGGAGTCCGGCGTTTCCATCAGGAAGCTTGGTTAGGAGTAAACCAATAGCAGAATCCACTACCGTCCTAGACTAGTCGAATGGGACAAAGCTCTTTCTGATTTACAAGGGCGGCGACGACTTGGTGCATACTTTGGCCAGGCTGACCTCGGGATTTCAGGAAACTACAGTGGCTACCATAACGGGCCGCCCAGGTATCTAAAGTAGAAGAGAGAAAAGTGGAAGAAAAAGAGAGAAAGTTAGAGAAAAAAAAGAAGAGGAATTAGTTATTGTCGGTATGCTTGAAAGCGCTTGGTAGTGGTATTCAGGGTCGATCTTTCGATGTCTTCGTTGGC